TAACCTCTGGCTGGAAGAGGGTCTCATCTGGACTCGCTGTCTCTCATTAGTGCTGATGGCTGGGTTCTGTAGTTATTGCTTTATGGTTATTGTTCAGCTAGTAGCACTGTTTTGTGCACCATTAAATCTCACTGGGGCTCGACCAGTATAGCATTGTTGAGACTGATTGTAGAGAGGGGAAACATTCAAAGATACAGTGGGCCTGTTCTATGTGGATTGTGTACCAGTTTTGCACTGATATGACTCTGCAAAGGTACTCAGAAGACTGCTTTCAAAAGACAAATAACTTTATTAAAAAACTCAAATTGTCTTGGGGCCACTGCTGGTATTGTCATCTCATAGGGGGGCCCCTTCAATGTTCAAGTACTACAAGAAAGAGCAATAGTCCTAAAATAATAATCATATGTTTCTATACATTTCATCAAAAGCCCCAAAACCTGCTCAGCATTTGTGGGAACCTTTGACTTTTGCTATTATTTTGCACCAGGCGCAACCAATTTCTGAAATAGAATTGTTTTTAATTGTATTAGTTTAAGCTGACATGAAACAACTAGAAAAAAGGAATTAATAATAATCTTGCGGGCCAGATTATATTATATTTTTGACATCATGTTGTGGGCAGGAGGGGGATAGAGGGTCTAAAATGGCCCCGGGCCAGCAGTTTGGGACCCCTAATTTAAGTTAAATATTCTTTAACGTGTTAAATAATTTAACATATACATTGACAACCAACTTTATGGTGGATTTATAGTTGTACATAGGCTCTACATCAAGGCATCGCAATTTGTTTAACAATGGAATACCACGCTACTGACATTGACATCACATCATCAAGTCACGTTTAGTGTTTTTTAAGACAGAAAAACTGAGGCTGAAGAGTCTCGACACAGCATAGGGGCTGTCTGAAATGCAATGCTACTCAGTATGCCTCAATCCACAGTCCAGGATTACAGTACCTCTCAGGAGAAAGTCACATCACCTCCACCTCACTCACTCTGGAAACACCAGCAGTCTGAGCTGACTGCTCTGCTAATTTTACCCATTAGTTGTTGTGTTTGCGTCCTGACTTGCCAGTGTTTCAGTGTTATGAGTAAGCCTGTTAACTAGCGACTTTCAGCTAGACATGTTAACTAACTGACACAAGAGGCAGGAGCAGGGAGAGTGCAGGTGATTAGTACAAGCAGATACTGAGAATAATCATTGTCCCATTGTACCTCTTACAAAGTAATGAGAAGAGAAAAAGAAGGCAGTTATACTGCACTGTTGACCCACCTTAAATCACTGAAGGCTAAATTCCTTTACCATAGCAGCCCTAAGCTATGCTGTACATGCGTCAGTGCAACGCAAAAATATAATTCAGGCCTCCTCTGTGCTGCTTGCCACAATATTGTAAATCACAGTGCAGTCTGCTGAGTAAATGAACATTTTCTGCATTATATACTGGGAAAAAACTGTTTTCATATCAGTGCATATCAGGTAACATATACACCAACACAACAGGAACAGACACAGTAAACATGGACAGGCTGAAAACAGCAATCTGTAGTATCATAGTGTTTATAGCAGATGCTCAGAGAGAGGCTGAGGAGCAAGTCCATTTAAACATTTAAAAACTAGCTTTACATAGTGAAAATCAACTAAATCTGCAAAGCTAAAGGTCTTTTCCTAAAATGCGACAACGATAGTTGCCAAATAGTTTTCCAAAATTGATGGACGCTACAAGTGTGGACAAAGTAACAGGACAGTGTGTACAATAGTGTGTAACTGCTGACCACAGGAGTCTCCCCACTGCTAACATGTAAACGAGGCATGTTGCTCTGGCATGAGTAAGACACTAAGAGTCACACAAAACAACCCAACAAGTGACAACACTGACTTTCATCACCTAAATGTAACACATGACAAGGTAATTCTAACAAAGTAAGCCATGACCACTATATGCTACATGAAGCACAATCAGCAGGTAAAGTGTTTTAAAGGAGTTCTACCTGTGGAAAACACCTGAAAAAGGTCCACTAATCCAGTGTTCCCACGGGAAGGTTGTGAGGCCTTCTTGATTTTAAGGCATGCTTGAAAAGGTAAAAATATGCACAGTAGGTCTTAATATTAGCATTTGGTTCACTTCTGTGAAGAAAAGTAAATGAAAGCATTTTGTTAAGGACAAACAATGGCAAGGCCATGATACTGCCAAAGGACAAGAAAACGAAAGAAAAAAAAAAGAAGCCTATTATGGGGTATGATTGTTAAAAATGATACCACAGAGAATTGTATAAAAAGTTCAGGAAATATTCTCCTGAAAATTCATCCAAATCACTGGTTTTACACACACTTCCTGCAGTTACTGAGTTCATTGTCTGGGTTCATTGTACAGTTTTGAATATAATATAAAAAATATATAAAACATGTTGCATAATCAGGAGTCATCAGTTTACAAAATGATAGAAAAAGTAAAAAGGTTGTAAACCACTGCACTAATTTAATCTGTCATAATAATTACACCAATATTTTAGCCAACACGTCAGAAAAATCAGCAGGGTGTCCCTTCCATATTGCCTGTTAAGGAATGAATAACTGTAAAGCCTACTTCAATATTTTTTCACATTCCAATGTCTGAATATTCTTATGAATTAACAGTTTATTGCCCTTGAATTATTATGCTTATCATTACAGTGCCATATAACAGCATTAAAATGGCCAAAATATTGTTTATCATTAAGTATTTCCAAAAACCACTCATGTCTATGGTGAGCTAAGAGATTTGTCTTTCCTCAAAATATAAATAATAAAGTTGCTGTAATAGTTCTTGCGTGATGGAGGCTGTGCTTACTATAATAGCTGGCGGTTGCATTGAACATTGCTCCAGTGCAGAGTACTGTCGCCCCACTGGGTTGGGACTGTGAACCAAGGAAGATGTGCTACAAGGAAATGTTCACATCAAGGCCACAGTGAAACCCAGGTCCACACTGTAAACTACACACCATTGTGAAACTTTTACTGAGCACTTATTCAGAAATTCATATTTCAATAGTGAAAATTGGAATACTCTACAGAATAGACAGACTGGGTTTTAAGGGCAACACACACCAGCCGTGTACCAGTGATTGGAACCAATGTCGTTTTTTCTAGGTGTGAACCACTAAATCTGCAGGCGTCTTCTTCTCCATCATGACAGACGGTCTCATCATGTGTGTGGCCAGACAACATGCAAATGGACGCTTTGGTTTCCAGCACTGCGCCACGGCGTTGCAAACACCTGGGCCAACGCTGAATTTGGCAAAAAATGTCACATTTGCTGGGAGTGTCGTGACTGTAATTCAGGCGGAGATTTAATTGGCCCCGTTATCGCTTAATCAGCTCCCTATTAGCAGATTATTCCTGCTGGTGTCGTTCTATCGTTTCCCCTCATCTATTGTATCATGGTGCGGTGGCTGCCACCGCTCTAATCTGCTCATTCTGCGCTCCTCTAACGTCTCTGTTATCCTCCTCACATCTACAGCAGCCTCTTTAATACAGGGAGGAGTCTTAATGATCGCACAATACGGCCCTCCCTGCCACTTCTTCCTCCTCTTCTTCTCCTCTAATTAATTTGTGACGCAGCTGCAGAGCCCAGTCGTCGCCTCCATTTGCTGAGAGAGAAACAAGCGGCTCCTGCAACCTCTCGGCCGAGCCTCCACCTTTAATGAGCCAGAGAGCGCCGCTGAGAAAGCGCCTTGACTGCAGCCATCCACCGTCTGCCCTCTGCGCTCGTCCAGTCAACTGCCACACACCACTCCTTCCTCCTCCTCTCTCCTCCTCCCGGCACTGCCCGCGCGCCGACTGCCATTCTTACATAACACTATCATCACTCGGGTGTTCAGCTCAGCTGCTACCACAAAGCACAACACTTCTCCTCAACCACCACCCCCTCTTCACATCTCACTCCGGCAGTCCGACCCGACCGCCCGCCACCTCCTGCTTTGGGCACTCTGCCAGGCCAATGCAATAAAGGAAAAAGAGAAGAAAAAGAGACATGGCGAGAAAGAGGTAGAAAGAGCCCGGGTGGAGGTTGATAGAGGGCGAATGTAGCTCCACCTAGAGCAAAAACCAGAC